AGATTTTTACCCCAGATCCCTAAGTGGCCCCCTCAAGGATTGAACTCACAACCCTGGGTGTAGCAGGCCAATGCTCTGATCTGAAGGAGTGGACAGGAGCCAATAGCAGGAGGAAGCAGGGTACAGATGCTGGGAAGACCCAAGTAAGAGGGGGATGTTCTTGGCAGGCTGTGGCTGGCCTGATCAGGATCACTGCAGGAAAGTCTCAGTCCAGTTGCATGCACCGTCATCCCTTAGGAACTGGGCAGGCCTCAGGGTATCAAGCATCTGGGGATTAGCCAGTATTTTCGGGTTAACCTGAGTCTTGAGTGGGGTTGCTGAAGAAGAAATGGGGGAGCTGCTGAGTTTGATCTCGAGTACCTCACTTGGGTTACAGCTGTCTGCAAGCTCCCTCTTCAACGCCGAGGAAACGGAGGCTGTGGGTAGTCCTGTCCATTTCAAAACTACATGTGCCCTTCATTTTATTCATTAAAAGTAATTGAGATGGGGCGGATCAGCCACAAGCAGATTTGTACATGCAGCACGTCCTGGGTCTATGTAAATCGTCGGTGGGGGGGAAATATACAGTGCGGGTGAGCTGAAAGGATTTATTTCCCCCTCCATGCAGGCTGCCATCCGAAAGGAACTGAATGAGTTTAAAAGCTCTGAAATGCAAGTCCATGAAGACAGCAAACACTTCACACGGTGAGTGAGACGAGACCCCAGGCCTCCACGCAGGCCATAGCTGCTTCTGGTCTCGCTCATAAAGCTGTGCTCCGAGCCTCTTAGTCGAAGAGCAGGTCTGAGCTTTAATATTGAGTAATGAGCTTTAATCCCGTCTGGGAGAAATAACCAGAGGCAGCTTTCACAGACCTTTATCTTCACTTTCTCCAGTGTGGGGGAGCTGCTTGGGTGCACCTGCCTGTAAATGGTGGGCCTGGAAACTGGGTAATGGGTTATTGAGCTTTTCACCTGTACATTGTGGGTTCAAATCCCGGTAAATCAATAGTGAGCAAAAGCTGATACACCACTAACCGGCTGTTAACTAGTATGTGAAACGAGTAGCCAGGTGCCCATGTTACAGAAAACACCATCACAGTTCCCTCCGACTTGCTCCACAGTCTCTGCGTAGAAGTGAATGGAGAATGAAAAGCTGCTCCCCCCAGGCTAGAGCTGGGAGTGTTTTGGCTTGGCAGTGCAGGAGAAGTTCTTTCTCTCAGTCCCCACTGGGGTGGAGTGGCGTGCAGGGACGTGAAGTGCCTCTAAAATTAGCACTGAGAGCCCAGTGATTTCACACCGTCAGTGCGGGGACACTACCAATTTATTAAAGACAGCCTGATATTTTAACATCCATAACACTTCCTTCCAAATTCCAGGTGTGACACTGGTTTTACTCTTCTATTTTAGGTTCCATCGGCCATGATCCTTCAAAAGAGGGAGTGAGCGAGACCAGAGGGGAGAGAATTGAAAGCGCATGCTATCTCCATCTCCTGGACAATATAGTGGGAGAGAACCTTGGGGCTCATCCAAGCTTTGCCTTGAAAACATACCCAGAAAAGGGCTCTGAGCTGGGGCGCAGGGGGATCCTATCTGAATGTAGCATTTCACTGGAACAAACGCATCTCGAGTGCCATCAGGCTGGAACTGAACACTATACCTCGCATGATACAGCAATACTCCCCATGGCATCCAGGCATCTCAGCTCGCCTTCCTGGGGACCACACCCACATTGGAACTGAGCTCTTCCACCACTCCCCCAGCTCCCTTTATTGCTCCGGCGGGATGGGCCCTGTTCTCCACTGTAAATAGTCCTTATGAACTGGTTGGAAGTTTTTCTTTTTCCCTTTTTGGTAAGGGGGAAAAAATAATCTAAGCTCTGATATTCCAGAGAGCTGGGAAGCATGTGTGTATATTTGCTGTGTACAAAGGAAACCTTTTACAAAAATGCTGTCCTGGCAGGAAACTGACACGTGACTATTTTTGGTTTTGCTTGCTTCTTTTTAATGTACTTAATATTCTGAATCACTACTGACCAATGGTATGTTGCCCTGGAAGGGAAATGTATAGATCTTAACAACATATGCTGCATCTTGTAAACTTCATTTTTTATTTTACAAAAACCAAACCCACGAACCTGCTCCTGTGCTAACAGACCTTGTCTTGAGACAATTAAGTCTTGTTTAACAGGAGCTACAGACACAGGAAATGACGGTTGCCTTTTAAAGTTTTGTTTTTAATTTCAGGAAGTTGTGGCATGTAATAAGTTTTCTTTGATTGTGATTTCCTCTATTTTTGTTTTTTACTCTCCCAAATCAGGGTGAAACTTGCCTTTTCCTATTCTCATAGCGAAACCTACTGGAAATTCTGAGAATTACACTGTGGAGGGGAAGAGGTTTTAAAGTGACCTTAAAACCAGTCAGTCTTCTGAGAATGTTCTCTTATCAGTTCTTACTGAATGTTTTTAATGCTGACATAAGCTACTGCTGTAGTGATGTGCACAGCACTTGTCCCGTGGGGGTGAAGTGACACTTGGAATGAGGCAGGGGAGATGTTACTCAAGAATATGGGGGATTGGGGATTTTACGGGGGGGTGGAGGGTTCTGTATTGTTGGATCACTGGCGTGTTTTGTTTGTGGCTTGTTCACTCTCTTTGCTGGAGGTCACTCTCCGCTTGTGCCGACTAGCAGTCGGCATTAGTGTGCTTGAGGTCTGCACTCATGAATCCTATGTATGCCTGCCTAGTGTGGAGGCCTTTTCAGGTTCTTGGTACTGCCCTTCTTCCATGATGTGCCAAGTATCTGCTGGGCCAGTCCTACGGGGTGTAATGTGGCACCTTCATCTGCTGCCTTCACACCCTAGGAGATCCAGTTAATCCTTGTTTCATCTCAGTCATCATACTCTTAGTGCAAGGAGTCACTGGGGATAATTTCTTGTTTCTTCAGGGTTCCCTCACTGTCCCCCAAAACAATGATTCACAAGCAAGAGGCAAAGATTGAAGTTCCCTTTATAGAAAACAATATGGAACTGGTGCATTGTACTTCCAGATAGCTTCCCTGATGTACAAAATCTCTGTAGAGTAAATGATTGCATTGTATATCTGTCTTCCTGTTGACAAATTTTAATTATTAAATAAAAGTATTTTAGGACTTTTTTGTAAACAAAACAACTTGTCTTTCATTTTGTGCCGCTAGCAGGAAGGTGAGAAATAAGGGGGACCACTTCAAATCCCAGCCGAGGCAACACAGCCTTTATCCTCTTGAGGAGGAGCAGTTAAGTTCTGAGCGGTTTTAGTCTTTGCAGGTCTGTCAGAGGAGACCATGACTAAGGTCCTGTCCACCTTAGACTGAAGATCCTCAGGATGTTATTTGTAAGGACAGGGAATGTTGTTGTCCTAGTGCCTCTGACCAAAATTTCCTCTCACCTGCATTGTACAGCAGACTGTGTGCTAGCTGGCTGCTGCCCTCAAGAGCAATAGCATTTCTGCCATGTTGCTATATAGTAGGTTAAGGCCTTTTGAATCTTAAAAGATGAAATACTATATAAATATGATATTACGGTAGCTTGTGTGCTGGAGTACATTTGCTTCTGTGGATTTGTATATGAATGGGCCTGGGGGGAACCATTAGGTTAGTGAGGTCCATCTACTCACAGGATTTAGGGACCTGTTTGAAGTTCTGTGGGATGAAATAGAGACTGATTTCTGCCAGTGCGCTCTTACTGAGGCCTGCTGACATCTTGCTCTTTGGTATCCACTGCTGACTTTGTCTCCAAACCTTTAGGCCTGGTCTACGCTACCCAGTTTTACCCAGGGCTGGCCAACCTGTGACTCCGGAGCCACATGCGGCTCTTCAGAAGTTAATATGCGGCTCCTTGTATAGGCACCGACTCCGGGGCGGGAGCTACGGGCGCCAACTTTCCAATGTGCCAGGGGGGTGCTCACTGCTCAACTCCTGGCTCTGTCACAGGCCTTGCCCCCATTCCACCCCTCCCCTGAGCCTGCTGTGCCCTCCCTGCTCCTCCCCACAGCCTCCTGCTCCCCAGGAAACAGCTGATTGAAACAGCTGATCAGGAGGTGCAGGGAGGGAGGGGGAGGCACTGATTGGCTGCTATTACCCCCCACCCCGTCCCAATTTTTCACACTTGCTGTCTGGTCACCCTAACACTTAAGTTTGTGGCAGGAGCCCCTGGCTGAGGCCAAGGGTGACCCCTCCCCCTCTCTGTGTGGGCCTGCCTCCCCCTCCCCCTTCCCCCCTTGCTGGCCTCGGGCAGAGACAGGGCCCCCCTGCAGGGGGCGCTGCCTGGGTTTTCCGCCCGCCTGCTGGCCTGGGGATTACGCATGCGCTTCAGGGAGCCCCTGCCCCCGACCAGAGAGCTATGACGCAGCGCACGCGCCGCAGGCTGCCGCTCACCCACGAGGCTCTCTGCGCCTGTGCCCGCCCGGAGCTACGCAAGCCCCCCCCCCCTCGCTGTTTCCGGCTCACCGCTGCAGCGCATGCGCTCTGGACCAGCGCTTCCCGTCGTGCCTCGGGCGCTATAAATTCTCGTTGCCCCGCCTCCTTCGCTCTTTTCCCTCGGAGCGAGGTGGGTGGCAGGAGCGGATCCGGCTTGGCTGAGTTCGCGGTGCGCGTGCGTAAGCAGCAGAGACGGGCGCGTTGCGGGAGGGAGAGACGGGGACGGCGGCCTAGCGGGGTCATGATTCCTTTCCCGCCCATGGCGAAGGGGAGGCCGGGCTTGGGGCCAGGGGGTTTGGTGCCGCTCTCGGGGACGGCGGCCGGCGGGGATCATGATTGCTCGCGGGCCCGCTTCGCTGATTGGGGGTGGGGAGGGGGATTTGCGCCTCCGCCGGGGCCTCGGGACACCCCCGCATGCAGCGCAGGAGCCCCGGGCCCTGCAGGGGCGGCAAGGCCGCAGCCTGGGCCCGCCCCCTGACTGGAGCCTGGGGCTCAGGCTCGGCTCGGCCCGGCCCTGGGGCCTCTCGCGGGGGGAGGCCGCGTGCTGGGCCGGGTGGGTCGGTTCAGCTCCCGACGTGGGCACCCGCGGGAGTTGCTCTCTCCTGGCTCTGCCCGTGTGGCGCACGGGGGCGCGGGCCTTCGGCCTCCGTGACGCGCGGTCCCCTTCCACCGCGTTGGAGAACCAGCCGGGCCTCCGGTCTGCAGATTCCTACGGCTTCTCTGAGTCCCCGGCCTGTGGCCGAGGAGAGAACCCGTGCGGGAGACATCGCAGGACCCGGTGGCGTCTGCTCGCTGGGGCGCCCCGTTCTGCAGCCCCGTCACACGCCCTTGGCTCCCTTCTGACAGCTGCTTTCCTTGTTCTGTTCCAGCAGCTTCGCAGGCAGCGCTCCTGGCCCACGAGGTGAGGACTGGTGTCACTTATGAGCTTGTATCGGAGGGGTAGCCCTGTTCGTCTCGATCTGTAAAAAGCAGCAGAGAAGTGGGCATTCCCCCACGATAGCTCATGCTCCAATACATCTGTAAGTCTTAAAGGTGCCACAGGACTCTCTGTTGCGTTTTATGATTTTGTGTGTGTTCATGAAGGTACCCTTCCACGCCCTAGGATTGTTTTCTTGCACACTTGGGCTGGGTCTGCCTGGTAGCCCAGTTGACCCAAAATAACATGGCATCGTGGAGATGTAGCAGGCTCGGCAAGGGTAGCAACGTTTAACTAAACCTGAACCACCCCTGATAGAAAGCCGTAGGTGGTGATCCTACTTTCTCACAATAGAGGAGCACTCTGTTGTGTGTCTGCAGGATCAGGGTTTTGGGGGAGCATGGAATGGTATATTTGAAATCTTGTGTCAATAAGTGTTCTCAATTTAGTTGGTGTTGGTCCTGCTTTGAGCAGGGGGTTGGACTAAGATGACCGCCTAAGGCCCGTTCCAACCCTAATATTCTATGGTTCAGTGCATATATGATTTTGTAAAATAACACTGCTCTACAGCCAAAATGCTTCTGAAATAAATGTAGTCAAACTTTACTAATTCTGGATCACTGAGAACAAAAATGATGCTTAAAATTGTTGATTGGCTCTAGTTTTCAAGATATGCTATTGGGTCAGTATATATGACCCTTGACTTGGGAATGGCGGGGGATAAGTGAGTTATAAAGGGAAGGGATCTCAATTTAAACCAGAAATTACTAAAATACATCTTTGACTGGATCTATGAATAAATCTATGACTGGGTTTGGACAGTACTTGCTTTTTAGGCAAAACAATGAATGATGCAATCTGAAGCTGGTATTGCGTCATACATGATATGAAGTGCATCATGTTATTCCTAGGAGTCATGGATGATGCAATCATAACGAAGGTTACATCACTCTGCTGAACAAATTGCCCTATATCAGCTCTAGAAATCATACAGTGTCGTGCTCTCTTATTTGTCAGTGTTTGATTTTGCAAAGGGACACATTTCTGTTGAGCCCAAGTGAGCAGAGATGCCTCATACTTGTGTGAACAGTGCAGATAACTTCTGCTATGTTTGTGGTGAAGTGACTTTTGCATCACAAAAGCGCAGTATAACCACTATGGTTAAGAAAGCCTATCACCTTTATTTTGGCTGCAAAATTGGAGATCAGGACAAGAGGTGGGCCCCACACATATGCTGCAACACTTGTGCAACAAATCTTCGCCAGTGGTTGAACAGGAAAAGGAAATCTATGCCTTTTGCAGTGCCAATGATTTGGAGAGAGCCAACAGATCATACCAGCAATTGTTACTTCTGCATGTTGCCTCCAGTTGGGAAAGGTGTGTCAAAGAAGAAAAAGTGGACTGTGCTTTATCCAAACATTCCATCAGCTATACGCCCAGTACCCCACGGAGAAGGACTGCCGGTTCCTGATGCACCAGAATCATTCTCACTTGAGTCAGACGAGGAAGAGGATGAAACTTCTGGTCCTGAACCATCAATGTCACAGGACCCACATTTTCTCCCATCCTCCTCCTCTGAACCACACCTCATAACACAAGGTGACCTGAATGACCTTGTCAGGGATTTGGAACTACCCAAGAGTAAGGCAGAGCAGTTGGGCTCCAGACTACAGCAGTGGAATCTCCTGGCAGGTGATTTTATTAAAGTGTTACATAAACAGGACAGGTGAAATATTATGTAAAGCAACCATAAACACATGACAAGACCTAGGTTTACAATTTATGATTAAAACTCTACTATCTACACAATATACATAGACATAAAGTGTAAAAACTTAAATATCTTAGAAACAGTAGCCTAAAGTATGTTGTAGCTTTGCCTTTTCAGTGACTGACGATAGATGTTTGTTTTGGTCCATACAAATTTCCATTTTGATATAGATCAAATATGAATTCTAGTTCACCTACATCATCCCATTTCAGTGTTTATAAAACAGCCTTTGTGTGGTCCATTTGATCAAAGTTCAGTTTTCACAGCATTACCCATGGGTCTCTTACACATTTGTGTAACTGATGCATGGCGTCTACCCATGCTTTGCATTGTGGGTTTTGGGCGACTGCATTGATGGGGTTGGAAT